CCTGTTTTCTCTCCCAAGGGGGTTCTGGTCTTCCGACCGAGGCCTCCCCCGGCCCCTTCTTCCTCTCTCTCCTGGCTGGCCCTTGTTTCCCAGGGGAAAGGCCCGAAGAAGGGGAAGCAAGGCCAGGCGGCAGGGAGGCAGGGAAAGAGGGCCAGGGCCCTTCAGGCGGCCTGAGTCATGGCGCCTTGGCCCGGGCCTCCTCCTCCTCCTCCGCTCTTTCCCCGCCGCTCAGGCCCAAGCCCCGGCCCCCGGCCCCCGTCCGCCCCTCCGTCGGTCCCTCACCGGGCGCAGTTGTGGAAGCTGAAGCCGCCTTCTCCTTCTCCTCCTCCTTCTCCGCGGAGTGAGGCCTGGCTTGGGGCCTGGAGGACCGAGAGCGACGCCATCTTGCCTCCTCCTCCTCCTCTTCGCTGGCAATGAAGGCGGGCAAAAGGAGCCGGCGGCCTCTGAGGAGGAGGGAAAAGAGGCGGAGAACGAGGGAGAAGGACGGAGCCTCCTTCCTCGCAACGAAGGCAGAAGAAGGGGAAAAGGACCTTCTTTCTGCCTTCCCCTTGGTTATTAGTTCCACCACTGCCACTCTCTGAGGCTGAGAGAGTGTGACCCAGGCCCACCCCCCCCCTCCGTGGGAGTCGAACCCATTCCAACGCTGGCTTATAGCTTATATATATCTGTCTATATCTATATCGAGAGAGAGAGAGAGAGTCCACTATATGTACACATACACTGTGTGTATATATATATATATATATATATATATATATATATATATATATGTGTGTGTGTGTGTGTGTGTGTGTGTGTAAATATATATATAGTACACGTACAGACATACACAATATAAATCTATATATAACTATATATAGTTTATGTACACACACACATATATACATATAAAACTATATATATACATATATATATATACATATAAAACTATACACACTCAACACAAATACTGTATAACTATACAGTATATAGTTCACTATATGTACACACACACACATATAACTATACTGTATATAGTTTACTATATGTATACACACATACAATATATATATATATATATATATATATAGTTCACTATAACACACACAAACAATATAAATATATATAACTATAGAGTTCACTATAAATGTACACACACACACATATATACTATTTCTATAGTTTATGTGCACACACACAATACAAACATATATAGAGAGTTCACTATATGTACACACACACACAACACAAATATATAAAACTATATATAGTGCACTATATGTACACACAAACACACAATATAAATAAATATATAACTATATATATATATATGATTCATTATATGTACATACACACACACATATAAACTATATAGTTTACTATATGTACACACACAATACAAATATATATAACTATATATATATATATATAGTTCACTATATGTACACATATACACTCTATATATGTGTATATATATATGTATATATATATATGTGTGTATATATATATATATATATATATATATATATGTATGTATATTCTTCTCCCTCTTTTAAAAAATAATGTCTCGTCCGAAGTTAAGCCCCCTTGAATTTTCTCAGCAGGGCATCCTCATTTGCAGCATCTGCACTGCAGAATTAATGCAGTTTGATGCCACTTTAACTTTCATGTCTCCATACCATGGAATTCTGGGGTTTGTAATTTGGAGAGAGGTCTCACCTTCTCTCTCAGAGAGCTCTAGTGCCACCACAAACTACAAATCCCCGAAGGATGGAGCCGTGGCAGTTAAAGCGGTGTCAAACTGTGTTATATCTGCAGTGCAGATGCAGCCTGCTGTGTCAAATGGGTTTTAGCTGAGAGACAGAGTAGGTCTGAGTGCTGGATTAGGATCCCAGGAGCCCAGGGTTCAAATCGTGCTTAACTGTGGAAACCTAGTAGATAATCACTAGTCACACTCTCTCAGCCTAAGAGGAAAGCAATGACAAATCAATAAACAAGTTTTACCAAGGAAATCCAGTGGTAGGTTTGTCTTAGCTTAGGTTTTAGCTGCTAATTTACCCCTTGGCTCCCATACCAAGAGAAAGACAAGACATGCATTAAATAAATAAAGCAAATAAGAATTTCATTTTGCCCCTTTAATCCTTCCTTCCTTTCTTAGCACAGAGCCTTTTTGTTTAAAATGCCTGTTTCTTCGTTGTTCATTAAACCGCACACATTACTGGAAACAACACACATGTGAAAGGTCTTCCCAGGACTCGGCCCTAGAGGTTTTTAGGCAATTAAATTCGGCTTATTTGCCGCAGCTCATCTTCTAGACCACCAGCTGCTGAATCTCGGATGCTGAGGGCTAGATTGATGAGCCGGACTCAAATATCCTTTATTAGCCCAACACTCCCCAGATGGGTGGGATGACAGCTCCTATCATCCCCAGTTAACCTGGTTTTGGAAGAGGCAACGCAGGTACGTCGGGACAAGAAGGTATTTTGCTGCCTTTTAATACCATGCCAGCCTTCGTTCGCGAAACATACACATCACATTAAAATGCCCGGCATAATTAATAATTCCTAATAATTAGAGAAGTTACTTCCTAAAGTAAGAAGAGTTAAGCAAATTGGTTTGCACAGTTGTCCCGGTCTTTTCTGATTATTTAAGTGTCCCTTTTAGGCATGGGAGACTAATCCTAAGAGGTGAAATCTCCCAAAAATGGAGTCTAATTTTGAAATAGATTGAGTGTTCAAAATGCAAGAAAAAAATCCTTTTTACTTTAAAATTATTATTATTATTATTATTATTATTATTAAAAGAAGGGCTATATTGATGAGCCTGACTAAAATATTCTTTATTAACCCAACACTCCCCAGTTGTGTGGGATGACAGCTCCTATCATCCCCTATTATTATTATTATTATTATTATTATTATTTCTTACTCGCCTCTCCTTACAGATCAAGCATCTGAAGATCAGCCACGGCTCCAACCTTTTTGCAATACGATTTTAATCCATCTTTGCGATGCTATAATCATTGAACCCGATAAAGCTTTTTTATTCAGAGAGGCTGGTTTGAAAACTGAAAATGCCGTACTGTTTTAAACAGATTTTTCATCTCTCCACTTGCATTTAATCCTTATAAGTCTAGAATTGCTTTAATGAATGAATGATTGAATAAATAAATAAATAAATAAATACTTGTGGGTGTTTTAATTCATTTTTTAAAAAAATGTTCACTTTTGCTTTTGGGGGGGGGCTGTATGGTTCTTTTCAAAATTGGACCCCACCTTGAGCTCCAATTTTGGGACAACGTTAGAGAACTAATAGTAACAACAGCAACAATAATAACTTGATAACTTCACTCCCGGTCATGCAATTATGACATATTTTTGAGGCATAAATCACATGGTTGTTACAGATGGCCTAAAGAGGTGAGGGTTTCTCCTTCGCCACAGGTAAACTCACCTGTACCTGCGAGGGATGCTCTCGCTTCTGCCTTTAGCCTCAATTTTGGACTCGACGCTCGAAGCTAATACAGAGGTTAGTAAAGGGCACAGCATTGGCTTTTCTGTTTACAGATAATGAGAGTTACGTACATATCTTGAGAGGTGATCTAGTAACTATATAGAGACTAAGATCTGTGACTAAGTTCTGTGATTCCAGGTGAAATATCCCTTACTAGCAAAAGAAAAATACCTGTTCTTAATATTTTATGGAGCACATCACATTGTCCTCTAAAAGTGTCTTTTTTTAAAGCTATCTGATGTGTGGCTGACCGTCCATTTTTTCCAACAATTGTATGATATTTGTGCCATTGGCTACCGTTTTTTCTCAGGGCCTGGGATGATCTTGAATTTGCAACCCTACAACTGTGGTCCAAAACACACTGCAGAAATAATCCAGTTTGAGACCACTTTAACTGCCCTGGCTAATGCATCTGAGGAAGTAGACTGAAGTCTAGGAAAGCTCATGCTGCCAACTTCTTTCTTTCTTTCAGTGAGTGCTACAAGATCTCTCTTTACATACTGATTCTACCAGACTAAATCTTTGAATTCTGCCCTGACTCAGTGCTAGGGAAAACTAGGAACTGTAGTTTATTATGGCACCAGAGCTCTCCGACAGAGAAAGCTAAGCGTCTCACAAAACTACAGTCCCCAGAAGTCCTTAGCATTGAGCCAGGGCAGTTAAAGTGGCTTCAAACTGGATTATTTCTGCAGTGTGTTTCGGACTTCAGTTCAATTAAAGCAGCTAAAGCCTACCCAATCTCTACCAAAAAGGAGAACCCAAGTGGAAAATGGCCAGAGTTGATTCTTGTTCCTTGGGCAGTAGCCAAAGAAATTGCCTTTGCGCTTGTCAGTCCTTGGGCACAGAGGATGGGGAAAGTCCCAGCCTTCCTTTTCGGCTCTATTAGGGGTTGCCCCACATTTTTCAGGCATGGAAGCCAAATGCTACATACCATGTCCAAAGTGAGCTAGGTGTGTCTAGCTACAGCTTAGTGAGATGTCTAAGTTGTGCAAAACTACCTTGAC